AGGTGAGTCCCAATCTAACCGGGCAAGCCATCTGTAACAAGGTGCCAAATAGAACGTTACATTTCTTTTCTGAGGATCAAATAGAGCGTTACTTTTTTTTAGCAAAAAATAGAGCGTTACCGGTAAAGGAGGCCCACTCCTGTGACTAACGGGCTGGCCCATGTGGACTAATATGTGGGCTTTCTGCTTTCGAGAACATTCTAAAAAGTTTCCCTAGGTTTTCCGGCCGGTTTTATTTGTTTTTTCGAAGACTTTTTTATCATTTTATTTTTTAAAATAAATATATTTGTATTTTCTTCAAATTAGTGATTTTATAAAATGCATGAACTTTTATTTAGATTAGAAAATGTTTTCCAAAATTCATAAACATTTTCAAATTCGCGAAGATTTTCTAATTCATAAATATTCTTTCAAATTCTCATGTTTGTAAAAAACCTGTAATATTTTATAAATTTACGAACATGTTCTTATATTCGCCAAAAAATAATTCATGATTTATTTTTCAATTCGTGAAGATTTTTGGAATCCGTGAACGTTTTTAAATTCAAGAATATTCTTCAAATTAGTGAAAATAAATAAATTTGTGATTATTTTAGAAAATATATGAACATTTTAATTTCACCATTTCTTTAGAAGTTACCGGAAAAAATTACTGTTTTTTTCTTAAGACTACAAACCACCCTCAGCACAAGATGGGCAAAAAATAAAAAAGCAAACCAGAACGAGGAGAGTCTGGCTGAGCGAGTACAACGTGTGCGAGCACCGAGCAAGTTATTTGGGTATGTCCATTTTGCTCGACATGTGAGCCATAGCAACATTAAGGCGCAATAGGCGCTGAATAAGAGCTCCTGTCAATCGTTGCCGAAGGGTTTTCTTTTGCAACAGGCATCATGATCATCTATATCTATATCTATATTATCTATATATTTTCAAAAAAAAGTCTATATCTATATCTATATCTATACCAATATAAAAAGACCCAAAAAGGCAGATCCAATTAATCTTGGCCATCAAATCATGTCAATCCAACGACCTGGACTGCTTCATTGTCGAGCGCTCAACACGTTTAGCGTGCAGTTAATTTCATGCCAAATATAGTGCTAATCACATAATAACACGCAAATAATATCCTACTTAATATCCGCATGCACTTAATATACTTTCAAATAACGCGCATTGCATGTACACATTGACTAGTTGCATAAACATCTAATTTAAAATGTGAAATTAAGGATAACTCAAAACCTCCTAAAATGCTTTAGAATGCATCACGAAAATCGATACACTAATGCATGTCCTTCAGAAATCTTGTAATATTCATCATAGCTTCACCTATATGTGAGAAGTCTACCTGTAAATTTCATGAACTGTGGATGGACAACTCCAGAATTAAAATTTCAACCCTTAGTAACTTTAAAATGGTAGATTAAATGCATATTAAATTGAGGGACTTCTGCTTTGTGAAATATCTTGAAAATTTATGAATAGTCTTCCAATAATATTAGGAAGCTGCAATAGATTTTCATAACTTTTGGAACACAAAAAGTCACAATCTTGTAGTTTGCCCCAATTTAAATAAAGTAGCTTGCCTTCTCTCAAACTATTTGTATCAAGAATGTGGCATCCCAGCCCACGCCAAGCAACAAGGGATGAGCTGAATTGCTTGCCTTGTAACAGGGGTTAGTAGCTTGCCTTCTCTCGAACTATTTGTATAATTTGCTCAGATTCTGTTCTATTTAGTTGTTAGTGTCACTAACTTGCTCTAAAAGAGCCCTGCTTTGGTACACCCCCTCACAAAACGTATAAAAGGTAATATAGACTTTCCATGAATTATACAATCGTATATTGTATACATATTAATTAATGTATGTAATTTAATTTTTTTAGGCGAATGTACGTAATAGTTCAGTTTTGGGTAAAAGTGGCGACCAAACGGCCAGGCCAATGCAAGCGCTAAGCAAATGCGGAAATTTCGTGAAAAATATAAAACCACATGTAGCAGGAGTCGAAACCCAACATAGACATGCATGCTAATGGTACTAGCCAGACGAGCTAGCCACTGACGACGGCTGAAAAGCAGCCCTAAAGTTTAAAGTACCAATTAAATGGCAGATCCGTTTTTTTAATTTTCATCATTTCTTGGAAAAAATAACAAATTTTCTTGGAAATGCGAACATGTTTTGAAATCATAAACAAATTTCGAATATTCTTTTCTTAAATGCGAACATTTTCTTAGTGTACGGTGAACTTTATTCAAATACACACTGAGCTTTTTTTAAATAATGCTGATTTTTTTTTTTGAAATGCATGCTGAACAAAAATTCTATACATGAAGAACATTTTTTTTATAAGTGAACATTTTCCAATATACGTTGAACATTTTTCTTCAATACGGCGAACTATTTTAAGATGATGTTTTCTGAAAAATGAACAAAATTGGAATTTTGAACTTTTATTGGAATTTGGAATTCCAATTTTTTTTGAAACGTGAATAATTTTGAAAAATATGGTTTTTTAAGACATGAACAAAATTGGGAATTTCAACATGTTATAAAATTCTAAACATTTTTTGAAAAATTTGAATTTAGGAAAAACAAAAAGAAAACAGAAAAAAGAAACAAAATAAGGTAAGAAACAAGGTGTGAGGTGACGGCCGCGGTCCAAAAATGGACAAGAGAAGTCTCGACATGATCGTCAATGATGCCCTCAGATCTTTACACATTTTTGTACGAATTACTGACGCAACATGTCGATCCTATCTAACATAAACAAGCAAATTGAAAAACTGGGGTAGAACCATGTTAAAAGTCTCCAAAATATGATATTTCAATATAGGTTCTACTAAATGGGGTAATATGTGAATGTACAACTATAGGGTAAAAGGTAGAAATCACTCTAAAATAAATTATAGAGGAAAGTGTTTTAGTACATGGAACCATATGACTATATGATCCATCAACTGGGAACATCCGTGATGCACAAAAACCAAGCGAGAGATAACATTTGTTTAGTTGAACCAAACATCCATGCAGCAAGACAAGCTGTCTGATATAGTTGCATCATCCATTGTGTATAGAATTACTTCCGATGGGCCTGGGGAAGGAACAATACAACCCCTCGGGTCGCTCCCGCCAGTCAAAGCCCTAGCCGCCGCCAGTCAAAGCCCTTCCTCTTCTCCTTCCCTCGCCGCTGTCAGCGAACGCCGCCTGGGCAAAGCCCGCACGGCTCAGCGGCGGCGGGCCATTTCCTCCTCGTGTTGGTGCTACGCCAGCACGGGCTGCTAGCCACGGCAGGATCTCGGGCGCTGCCTCGCACCAGTGTGCACACTGGTTGGGAGTGGCCGCGGTTCAGCACTGGGAGGCGTGCGTAGGGGCGGTGCAGCGTGGCTGCATCGGGGTGGCCGTGTCCTAGCGATTCTAGGGGCGCGGCGATCTGGAGCGCCGGCAAGGGGAGGCGTGTGCGAGGGATGCAAGGGGAGCACAGATTCTAGCGGCCTGCGCGGATCTCGTGCTCCGACGTGGGGAGGCGCTTTTTGAGGGATCTGGCTGACGCAGATCTGCGCGTGGTGGGCCCAGACGGGCATCCTGGGCGTGCGGGAGGTGTAGGCAGCGTGGATCTGCTGCGTGGGCATCGTGGCAAGGGCGCTGGGCGTGCGAGGGGCTCGAAGGTGATGGTGGTGTTGCGGCAGCAAGGTGTGCAAGGGGCCTGCGCGACAAGGAAGTTTAGTTGCGTGCCGTGGGCGTTTCAGATCTGGTCTCTGGTGGGTGCTTTGTGGCGTGCATGGTGCACGTTGACGCGCTTGATGCATGACTGCGGCCCGAATCCATGGTGGCTCCTGGCCTCGGGCAGCGTGCCTATACCCCTTGCCGGCATGGTGCTTGGTACGCCATGGGCTGATGGCGGTGGCTGTGGCTATCGTTGACCTTTTGGAGGCATTGCAGCTCTGCTGTTGCACACCTCACACGGATCTAGCCGGCGGTGCAGCTCCAGGGGAAACCCTTGATCCTGAGTGATCAAACGATGGCGGCGCCTTGGTGTCATTTTCCCTCTAGGGGGCTTCATCTTTGGAGCTGGACATCGACATGCGGGACAAGTGGATGGCGTCGGTATTCGCTCGAGGTTTTTGTGGCAACAATAATGGGGGTGAACGAGGTCGGAGACGTGGCGTCGCTTGAGGTTGTTGGCTCTTCTCCGGCGTGTCTGTGGGATTGCCTCGGCTGTTTGTCGCAGTGAAGTCTAAGCTGCCGTGGCGGGGCCAGGTGGTATATGATGACGAGCGATGGGTGGTCCGTTCGGTAATCCTCCACGGCGCCAACCTTGCCTACATCTCCTTCGTAGTTCTCCGTCAGAGGACTGCATGTGGCTCCATATAGCCTCTTCCGCGTTGGTTGGGTCGATGATCATCTGCGGCAAAGTCGGAGTCGTTTGCTCACTGTTTTAGGGTTGGCGATGAGACCTACTAGAGGAGAAGTGATGACGATGACGTCTACGTGCGGTCTTGATGATGCCCTAGTTGAAGACTGTGTGTTGGGTATCCCGTGTGCAGCTCAGTGGTTTGTGATGGTTTTTCGCCCGGTTTTCCAATAATTAACTGGGCAACTCTTTTCTGCTTAATTAATGGACGAGGCAAATCTTTTGCCTTTGTTTCGAAAAGAAAAGAAAAAGTACTTCCGATGACATAATCTGTTCGATACATATATCTACGAATATATGCGTGAAATCATCTCACGTCTCAAATCCAGCTCATTACTGCTAAATCATTCCACAAGTTTTTAGTAGTGCTACCACAACATTATCTCAAATATAATTCTAGTTATAAGTAGGATGTAAGGGCATTATCTCTCCGTCGGGCCATGAGGTAAACATCTAACAATCATTGGATGAACCAACGATAGTGAGATCCGCCTTCACAACGCAGCTCGATCCTACTACATAGCCTTCCGACGGGTCCTTGAGTTTCTTGAGTCCAAGGAAATTAGCCCATCCCCAGCTGCGTCCACTTGTAAACACCAGGAGACCTGCGATCACCATAAAAGTAAGAAGATCAACTCACGAACACTAGCTTCTTGAATCACACATATCAGTAGGACTGATAATTGCTAAGGAGAGCTGAACCTGAAGTTCCAGTCAAGTGTTTCCCGTTCTTTTGGTCCAGGATGGACAGAGTCATTACAACCACCTTCTTGGACTTGAGATGGAGCTCATCCGAGACATCCAGGTATAAGTACAAGCTGAGGCAATCAGTGCTGTACTTGTCACCACGCGGATACATGCGGACGTACCTGTTGAAGAAAATGGGAAGTGTCACTTCAAATATAATTGGGTACCCGGGAAAATATATTTGAAGGGCTGGTTACTGAAATCAGAAAGTTGAGGCTGAGCTTGGCTGTAGTCAAGAGAACTTTGGACACAACATGGTAGCATTACAATTGTACAAAAAATCTGAACAAAACATCACTACAGTAGAAGATAGAGTACAATGTTACACAAAAATAATCTGAGAAAATAATCGATGGTATGTGGCACATCCAAGAACAGGTGGTACCAAATATATACATAATGAAATTCTAGCTTTTATTCAACATAGAATTTAGTACTAGTTTCCGAATCTTTGGTGCAGCATGATTACAAAAACCTGTTTCTACTGAAACTGGAATGCCTATGCATATCTGTAAATAAAATAGAGGTACAGTTCTTTGGTTGTATAATGCTAAACTGTCCAGTTAAAATATTTGAAGGGCCTTGCCTTGCACAAAGAACTGGCCATCACTAAGTTCCTAAAGTGAGTAGGTACGGTGAGCTAAAGGATACATATAAGCTAAAATGTTGGATAACGCATGCATGCCATTTATATAAATCATTTGTGATGTAACTGCCTAACTGGTAATAGGTGCATACCATTTATGCCCACCAACTTCAAATGTAGGGGAACGGACAAAGTGATCCAAGTCCAGTTCAAGGAAATTGTTCATGTTCCAAGTGTATGTCCCTTTGACGAACCCCTTCTTCTGAACAAAGAGGTTCTGAACTGTCGTAGGCTTCTTCTGAACCACAACAGCCTTCTTTTCAGGAGAAGAGACATCAATTTTTAATATCTCCACACCGAAGACACAGCTATCATCAACTAGAAAAGCAGATGATTTCAGTAGCTCCTGAAGAGGAATCAAGCAATGCTCCTTCGAGAAGATATTCTTGAAACCAAAGTTGTAGCTAGCTGCATTTAGGTAAAGGTTAGAACTTGGAAGATTAGACAGCGAAGAACTTGTATGCAAGAAGCAAATATTACCAAATAATATCTAACTAACCTTCACCCTAGTTAAGAAAGCAATGTAGTGAATTACATCCAGATGATGATAATCAAATTTAAAGAGAAACATGTGTATGCTATCTGAACCATAATAGACTCAAGTGTGGAACTTGTAATGTCTCAAGTGAGATACATGTGTATGCCATCAGAACCATCCAAATTCCTGAAGGTCTACAGAGAACCTTGACAGCAAAGCAAATACAACGCGACTTGTTAATGCCAAAACATTGTACTTGACCATATTTTGATATTTACAGATATTGACTTGTAATGATAGAATCATGGTATTTATATCTCAAACTTATGACACACAGAGGAGTATGGATTCATAGCTATAATATGATGGACGTGCTTGAAAAAACACATCCATGAGACTACCTTTGCATCCGCAGTACATTCGTCTTGAATGGTTGTATATTGACAACTCAAACACCGCATGCACCATGTGACCTGGCACCAAGCTTGGTCGGAATGCCACAAGACGAAGAGCAACATATGGCGTTGATGAACCAGCTTTTTTATGCATTGGTTTCACTTCCAGGTGCCTTTTTTTTTTTGCGGGGGACACTTCCAGGTGCCTGGTAAATGAAATCATAGGAAAAAACCAAAGTCCCTCTAAAATTCATAATTGAAGTAGGAGTGCCGTCTAATTTCTTCACTTCATGCACTGTATCAACTTTAGCGACAGACTGTTTGTTTATGAGATTGTGATTGCTAATTTGATTACATCGATGATCGATCGAAACATCATTGTGAGTGAATGGCATCCTAAATCAATGTGTATATGGATAACATATAATTACCTTTTCTACTAAAACAAACCAGATGGTATTTACAGCTAATACAAATTTTTTGCAGACTTCCTTTTGCAATTATGGTGCATACCAGTTATACCCAGAGCAGTGAAAAGTGTCAGATGTTGCTGACTTAGCTCCTGTCTCAAGCAGCGATGAGAAGTCATTAATCCTCCATTCTAAATCTGGAACATGGGTCTTTCCAAAGTCCTGCATCCTCCATTCTGAGTCCGGATCAACATGGGCCTTTCCTAGGAGTGCACGAGCTGATATTTGCACAAATGTAATAACTCAAAATTAGAAAACAAAGGAGAGAATATGCTATGAGAAAATTCATGTGCATGTTGCAGTTCCAAATGAACAGAGTACAATATCGACAACCGCAAGAATGAACAACAGCATATAAGTTTTTTATGTTCTGATTAAATGGATCAAAATCTTGAACGCATACTAGGTTATTCATGTCACCAATCAGGGGTAGAACAAAGCACAAATACTTGTACTTTCTTATAGTACTTATGTCATTAGCCCGTACTACCGCTTCTAATCCAGAAGACATCAAGACCAGCACTCAAACAACTTCGTGTTTCTAGATAAGGAGAGTGATATACCCAACATACTAGCTAGCCATCTTCAATTCAGAGCTAGGATTTCATATTCCGCCTTGACTTTTGCCAAGGATTTATACTGTAAATCACATCTAACTTTTATAGTTTATAAAAGACACAGTACAAACATCGAACTTCTATTTGGTTTATAAAAGACAGTCAAAACATCACGATTGACTAGACATACATACATGAACTCTTGCAGTTGCCCATAGATCTGCCCCTTCCTCTTCTCGCGTCGTCTGCAAGTGAGATTAAATCATATCACATCTCAGGTAAAGGTAGCACATCATCATATAGACTACTAGTACTGAAGAACCACAGTAGGCACACAAAAATTGTAACTATCATGCCATAATGCAGGGTTAAGAACATACAGAATCTTGAGGGGCAGAGTCAACCTCGATGAAAAATAATTACCACGGCATGTAAAAATCATTACCCGCCAAAATAAAAGAAAGAACAAGAAGTAGAAGTCCCTGGACACGAACAGATCGATTAAAAACCTACGCGCTGTACCCCTCGATCGATTGGGAAAGAAAGCCAACAATTTGCAGCGCAAAACCCTGAATCCCTGTTTCGTGAAAAGAAAAGAAAAACTGGAAGTCTGAAAAACCCTCAACTCCAGAAGAAAAAGTGAAGAACGGTAGGATGCGATCCTCGGTAAAGAGATGGGATTTGCGGCTTCCATGAAGAAACCTGAATCCTGTTTCGTGAAAAGAAAAAGGAAAAGCTGGAAACCCTCAACTCCAGAAGAAGAAGTGAAGGACAGCAAGATGCGATAATCCGCGGTAAAGAGACGGGATTTGGGACTGCCATGAAGAAGCGGAGGAAGAGAGGGACCTGGATTTGGGGGCGGACCGAGAGTACCTCACAATGGCTTCCTCGGTGTTCGTCGGGGTCCCGGAGCCGGAGGTGCGAGGCAGGGGAGTGGGGTTTTAATGGTGGCCTCTCCACGCTCCACAGAGAAGTCACAAAGAGGAAGAACGCTTGCCCCTCACTTTCCTCTCGTCTTGTCTCCGTGGCTCCATTTTCCTCCCCGTCTCTTTTCTCGTTTATCAAAGCACTGAGCTGCCATTTTGCCATTTTGGTGCAAGGTTTGTTTTCCTTGCATTAAAGCTGACTGACGCGTTCACAATTTTTACTTCTGGGCGACGGTCACAGGTCACACAGAGCAAGAGTATTTGCCCGCCACTTTTCTATCCTCTGTCTCTCCTGCGTCCGTCTCCCCGTTTCCCTCTCCCTCTCCCTCTATTTTCTCTTTTTTTTGAGCTATTTCTCCCTTATTAAAAGCACTCGAATACTACTACCATTCTCTTGCACGGTTTTTCTTTCGGTACACGAGAGCAGACTCACGCTCACAATTTTGCGTCTCTCTCTCATTTACTATGTTTTTTTTTTGCGGGTGAACTCATTTACTACATTGCTCGTGTATCTTGCTGGTGGTTGGTAGCTGCTCCCTTTTGAAGGATTTTTTTTCAAGAGTACAAAAATTGCGGACCATATTTTTGTAGAAGATAGAAACAACAATTTCAAGAGGTCAATCGAGTTGCGAGCAACCCAAGACCAAAACCCACTCACCCTGGTCACCCTTAGTGCGAGTTTCCAGTCCTAATCTCGTCTGGAATTTTAGAAACAAGCGTTTGCGCTTCCATTTGTTGCTCTGCTCAATTGAAGACGCGAGCATTTCTTTGCTTTCACAATGACCATAACGTGCAGATGACAAAGGAGTCGAAGCCTTGCCTCTCAACCTTGTTGAATTGCTGTCTGTGTAACATCCACCATCCCAAGAAATGTATGTTGCCACTGGCCCGTGGATAGGTAACTATAAAGCATCTAGATAATGATGCCAGGTCTCTTGAGCATAGACACATTGCACGAAGCTGTGGTCAACATTATCTTCCTCTTGTAAACATGTGAAGCATGCCGAAGCCGTGTCTTGTAACCCATGCCGGGCGCGACGGTCAGAGGTCCAAAGGCGATATTGTGCAGCTAGCCAGGTGAAAATCTTGCACTTGAGAGGCGCCCAGCTTCTCCATATAGCAGGGGAAAATGAGCTGTCAGGGAGCTCTTAGCATAGCCGATCGTAAGTGGATTTAGCTGAGTAGATACCTGAGGCAGCGCACGACCAAGAGAATGTGTCCGGCCTGTCGGGGTCTCGTTGCACTGATGGGGTCACCTACCACTGGTAGGGTCAAGGACCTAACATCTAAGGCCCACCTAGGGTCCCACACCATCATTGGGAGGTCCCTGGACCACAGGTGCATCCAGATGCGCATCACAAAGAATCCACTCGGATACACCGACGGCACTCGGATGTCTTCCCTCCAATCGGCCAGCCATCACCACTCGGATAGAGGAGGCGTAACGATGATGTGGGAGCTGCAACGGTCGAGTAGTCTTAAGTTGGACTTCAAGTATAGTCATGGCTACCGTAACCTATAACTGTCGTAGTCGTGGCTATTACCACCTGTAACCGCCATAGTTATAGTCATTAAACCCCCTTGTAACGTGGCAGTAAAGAGGCCAAGGCGCACTCTATATAAGCCACCCACCTCCTCCATGGCAAGGGTTCAGCATCCATTGTAATCATATACCCCAAGAGAAAACAAGCCTCCGGGCACGAGACGTAGGGATGTTACCTTCTCCGAAAGGGGCCCGAACTCATAAAAACCGAGTGTCACACTTGCGCGGTAACTAGGCTCCCTTGTTCACACCTCTAGTACTCGTTGTCAGGATCGTTGCCTTGATAGTTGGTGCCCACCGTGGGGCTGTGCGCTAGCGATTATCCAGCGCAGGTGAATTTCATCATCATCATGATTCTCGGTGGCGAAATCCATTTCAGAGCAACGCTTCGGTGTGGCTCCGGGAAGCCCCGCTGAACGAGGAGTCGCTGCCCATTCGGGGTGCAACACACTTCAGCGCATATTCATACGGAGTCCTCCGCCAACCTTCGGTTTCGTACCGAGTGGCTCCCCTCCTTCCTGCTGGTCGCCATTGCAAGCGCTCCGGGCGCTCACGGCTCCAGCGTTGGATCAAGCACGCCACGGCCCTCTAGACCGCGGCCGGGCAGGTGGCGGCACTCGAACCAGACGAGCCCTCCCTTGACCTTTTCGGCTGCCTCCACGAGGACTCCATTAACGAGTCCGAGTGCGAGAGCGTCTGATATGTCTCCAACGTATCTATAATTTTTTATTGTTCCATGCTATTATATTATCTATCTAGGATGTTTTATATGCATTTATATGCTGTTTTATATGATTTTTGGGACTAACCTATTAACCTAGAGCCCAGTGCCAGTTTCTGTTTTCTCCTTGTTTTTGATTTTTACAGAAAAGGAATACCAAACGGAGTCCAATTGACGTGCCAATTTTTGATGATTTTTTATGGACCAAAAGAAGCCCTGGAGTGAAAGAGCTGGGCCAGAAGAGTCCCGGGTTGCCCACGAGGGTGGGGGGTGCGCCCCCTGTCTCGTGGACAGCCCGGAGACCTCCCTGACGTGAGACCTACGCCAAAAATTCCTATAAATACAGAAACCTCCAGAAAATAACATAGATCGGGAGTTCCGCCGCCGCAAGCCTCTGTAGCCACCAAAAACCAATCGGGACCCTGTTCCGGCACCCCACCGGAGGGGAAATCCCTCACCGGCGGCCATCTTCATCATCCCGGCCTCTCCATGATGAGGAGGGAGTAGTTCACCCTTGGGGCTGAGGGTATGTACCAGTAGCTATGTTTTTTTATCTCTCTCTCTCTCGTGTTCTTGAGGTGGTACGATCTTGATGTATCGCGAGCTTTGCTATTATAGGTGGATCTTATGATGTTTCTCCCCCTCTACTCTCTTGTAATGGATTGAGTTTTACCTTTGAAGTTATCTTATCGAATTGAGTCTTTAAGGATTTGAGAACACTTGATGTATGTCTTGCATGTGCTTATCTGTGGTGACAATGGGATATCACGTGATCTACTTGATGTATGTTTTGGTGATCAACTTGCGGGTTCAGTGACCTTGTGAACTTATGCATAGGGGTTGGCACACGTTTTCGTCTTGACTCTCCGGTAGAAACTTTGGGGCACTCTTTGAAGTTCTTTGTGTTGGTTGAATAGATGAATCTGAGATTGTGTGATGAATCTGAGATGTGAGATTGAGGTGACATTGGAGTATCTAGGAGACATTAGGGTTTTGGTTGATTTGTGTCTTAAGGTGTTATTCTAGTACGAACTTTAGGATAGATCGAATGGAAAGAATAGCTTCGTGTTATTTTACTACAAACTCTTGAATAGATCGATCAGAAAGAATAACTTTGAGGTGGTTTGGTACCCTACCATAATCTCTTCGTTTGTTCTCCGCTATTAGTGACTTTGGAGTGACTCTTTTTTGCATGTTGAGGGATAGTTATATGGTCCAATTATGTTATTATTGTCGAGAGAACTTGCACTAGTGAAAGTATGAACCCTAGGCCTTGTTTCCTAGCATTGCAATACCGTTTGTGCTTACTTTTATCATTAGTTACCTTGCTGTTTTTATATTTTCAGATTACAAAAACCTATATCTACCATCCATATTGCACTTGTATCACCATCTCTTCGCTGATCTAGTGCACCTATACAATTTTCCATTGTATTGGGTGTGTTGGGGACACAAGAGACTCTTTGTTATTTGGTTGCATGGTTGTTTGAGAGAGACCATCTTCATCCTACGCCTCTCACGGATTGATAAACCTTAGGTCATCCACTTGAGGGAAATTTGCTACTGTCCTACAAACCTTTGCACTTGGAGGCCCAAGAACGTCTACAAGAAGAAGGTTGTGTAGTAGACATCAGCATCGAGTCCACGGCCGAAGTCCTCATTGCCGCCACGGAATAGCACGGTCCCCCAGGGTACACGGGCCCCCACGATGGGTGATAACCCACAAGTATAGGGGATCGCAATAGTTTTTGAGGGTAGAGTTTTCAACCCAAATTTATTGACTCGACACAAGGGGATCCAAAGAATATTCTCAAGTATTAGCAGCTGAGTTGTCAATTCAACCACACCTGAAAGACTTAATATCTGCAGTAAAATATTTAGTAACAAAGTAGTATGGAATTAACGGTAACAGTGGCAAAAGTAATAGTAGCAGTTTTGTAGCAATCGTAACAGTGGCAACGGAAAAGTAATTGAGCAAAGATCAATATGAAACGAGCTCGTCGGCAATGAATCAATGATGGATAAT